GAGAAAACGGGATCTTAAGTTATGATCTGCTTTGTGTTTGAATGGATCTTGAGAAATAAATTTTATTGTGTTGCTATGGATAAACATGTATGGTTAATACAAACTTGGCCCGCAGTGGGACAATTTGACCTATCTTAGTAATACCGACTGGAGCTTACAAAATATTTATTATTGCTTTTAATAACAGTAGAATCGGAATTAAGACTGTAAAATAAGAATGAATGTAACCTTTAATATAGAAAGCTATGAATGAAACAAATCTATAGATGTAAAGGGCATGAGGGAATCAAGACAGATAAGAGTCATATAATGCACAGTAATGGCTACGCCTGACATCGCGGGGTCAGTGATGAAAGTGTTGATAATTTTAACGAGAATGGTTATGGTTTAGCAGAAGCACTTGAGTGTAGTACTTTTGATATATCTGGAAAGTTTACACATCGCAGAATTGGTCCTACATTTGTATGAATACAGTTTATTTACACTTTTTATAGGAGTTTTGAATAAAGGTCTCAACTCTCAAACACACCTTAAACTCATTTACGCTGATATGTTAGGCACATAGGGAGGAACCCGAACGAAGCGAGGGTAAGTCGCTACTGAAGAGATACATATAGATATGTTATATTAAAATGATTGAATAACATCAAACAAGTTAATGTAAATTGATTATTAAAGCCGAGAAATGTTTTACGCGATTTTAACAGGTTTCTTGAGAAGAAGAGAAACTATGACAAATCGTCTTAATGTCAAGTCTGTGTCAATGAAAATAGTTACTTATGGTTACAAATATTTTTGTACAAATTTCCAGAGAACGACTGAGATGCATTTTGCTGATGTAACACTTCACAAGGCACGCTTCGAAAAGAATCGTGCATCGCCGCACGCGCAGATCAAGGACGATCACGCGAAGTAGCGAACATGTCGTTACAATTTGAGATGCTTATTAAATATAGAACATGATTTTTAGATAACTAATTGCCTACATCAAGTATATAAATTAAATATAGTAATATCATGTGATTATTTTTTATTTATAAATTAACTTACTAGAAATTAACGACCCATACAATTTAGGCTACTGGCGCTACAATTCAAAAACGCTTTAATTATTTTTTTGCAGTTTGCTATCATTTTATAGGAACAGTTTAAACTTATGCTATTTAGGCATAATGTAATTTTTATTTTATTAAATTACACCATGAATATAATATATTTTTGATTCCCACAATTATTTCTAAAGAATACCTCCTACATATTATTTCAAACTTAAACGTTTGCGTGGGTTAATTAATTAATATATAATAATAATAAATTCATTTATTTAAATAATAATAACTCATTTTGTTAGTATACATAAAAATTAAAGATGAAGACTATAAAGAAACTATAGAAGTGATGAAAACAGAAATAAATGTTGATAACACTTATTAAGTTATATTATCATCAACATGATAACGTTTTGAAAGGTACCTACTATCAGAAGTGCTGATAACACAATCAATAAATCGATACAATAATTCTCTATAGAAGATCTATACGTGTAAGAATAACTTCAATTTACGTTAACACTAGCGACTCACCGTCGCTTCGCTCGGGTTCGTCCCTAGGTACGTTTTATTTTTTTGAGCGGAACCCTAATTTTTCCTAAAATAAAAGTAGCCTATGTTACTCCCTATAACATCAGCTATCTTCCAGTGATAGTACCGTTAAAATCAGTCAAGCCGTTTCAGAGATTATCCGGAACAAACAGACAAAGAGGTTGACAGACAAACATTAACAAAATGGTGTTTTTCTTATAAGTACCGTATATAATTTCATATGCACTTAGTAAAATGCATTATTTTAATATTACAAACAGACACTTCAATTTTATTTATCTGTATAGATTTTAAGTTTTAACCACGAAGTGGTGTCACATAACTACAAAATAAAAGGAGCGTAAATACACACTCCGATAACCAAGCGAAATGAATATGAGATCGTGACGAAAGCTTGACTAAACAATTGTGTATTTGGTCTAAGTACATAAGACGTGGTGAGAAACGTTCTCACAGGAATTCTTTTGAGATCTTCAATAGTGACTTTGTAGTGCACGCATGACCGAGTTAGCAATCCTTAACGTATTACATCTATATTTTTTTTATTTCCTAAATCTTAGTGGTTCTGCACTAAGAATTATACAAATTACTGATTTGCTACAATAAAATACAATACATAATCAAAACTATTATGAAGAACATCTATACATATCTGCATATGTAATAAAGCAGTCATTTAGCGAAATCGATGTGCACGTTTCACGCAAAAAGTACTGAACAGATTTTATCTTTTTTTGTAGTGATAACTTATTACTCAAATCAACATATAGGATACCTTTTACTACAAGAAAATCTTTCATTCCCATGGGAAAACACAATAACTGGTTCTATCAAGTCGTTCTTAGAAATTAACATGTCTAACACTAGTTAAACCTTATGAGATACTCGTACATGAAGACAATGTATTAGAAAATTATAGGTTTTAATAAGGCCTACAGAAAAATCTGCAATAGGGTAAGTCTTTCTCCTAAGGTACACTCGCAATAACTATTCATATCTATTTAAAACGTATCTAAGGACGAACCCGAGCGGAGCGAGTGTATGTCACTAGTTTGAAATATGACACTACCAGGTCAATGCAATTTATCGCCATGTTCGAAGATATAATAAACAGTTAACAAATGTAATAGAATGGCGTGAACATAAATAAATAGCGCGAAATGAAAGATACTTTCATTTATTAATTTGCAATTTCACCAGATAAACAATAGACTAACCAAGATAACATAATCGTTGATCATCCCACACGGAGAAAGTCATCGCAAGTTGTCATTGCAATTAGACATTTAAGTTACAGAATGTCTTGTTACTAATTTTAATGAAACATAGATAACATAAAAAATAGAAAGCATATCATAGCGAAATGAAATTGAATATAAATGGATGTAAGTGCAATTATATCTATAGATTTTTAATGTAAGTTATGAAGCTAACTTTTTCATAATACTGTTTTGTATTGTTTAGATAACAAAAAAAAATGTATATTTGTTTAAACAACAAAATTTATATACATGTAAAACAAATCTATAACAAAAACAAGATTCTAGGTTAATGAGAGGAAATTTGCATTTAGATAGGCAATGTCAGAATCAATAAAACGATAATGTTATATTCGTGAAAGTGCAAGAACATTAGATCGTCACGTGCGATGGTTTAGACAATGCCGACCTTGGTCTCCGGCACGTTAAAGATGATTCTTGCAGCATCCGAGACAATTGTGGAATGTAACAATAACAAGATTGTTACAGCTAACAAGATGCTGCATCCATTAATTTAAAGATTTTACAATATGGCAATTATGTGCAACATACCTAATTATTGTAAATAAATTGTGTAATATATTTTTTTTATTACATACTACCAGTCAATACATTTATATCCTTTCAGCAATTTTAAAGAGTTATAAGCATTCAAACGTTTTGAAGAAAATAATTCAGAATACACAATTTCACTACTTTTACGAGACAAAGGAAAAAAATAAATGGTTTATGTTGGTTGAGTTTTATGAAATGTTATTACGCCTCTAAAACTTGAAACTATCTATAGAATAAAAGAAAGAAAACTATACAATAAAAATATGACTAATCAAGACGTCCCCAAGTCTTCTAGTCGATAAGTGAGTAAAAAACGTGATATCTACTTTACTGTTTATGTTTAGTACATTAGTCATGATACATTATAAAAACGTGAAATGCAATGTGCCGTGTGAATTCTTAAACATACCATTTGTAAACAAAGAATCTGGTGATGTTGACTTTAGTAATTTGTACGTTGTCTAGTAATGTTTGACTTAAAGCTGTTCATACTATTATTTATGACTGACTTTGATTAGCGGCTATGCCTGCATATTTATTTCGACCTCAATCTAAATGTTTTATAAATAAAAGTTAATAAATGTTTTTGAGAGACAGCGAATGTATGTACCTACATAGCATTAATGGTATAACGCGTTTAATAAATAATATTCAATGTTTTGCAACGCAACTGGATGCAAACTGGCAGATGACATGTAACTTTCTCTCGGATGTCTGAACTCTCCAACCCGGACACAGGGCTTCTTACATTGTTTCAGTAAAAATAATATTGTTATTATCATATAAAATTGAAAGTAAGAGCATGCAGCACGCATAACATGAACGTGAATTGTTCATCTTAAATGTAGCGGAGAAAAAACTAAATACCACACCTCCTTTTTAAAATATATATCTAACTAGCGACTCACCCTCGCTTCGCTCGGGTTAGTCCGTAGGTTGGTTCCCCATACAAACTTTTATCCCAATTTTCACCCCTTTAAGGGATGATTTACGGGATAAAATGTATCCTTTGTCTATGACTATAATTTTTAATAAAATTATGTTGTATATACTCATAAAGTTTTAAAAATAATTCTATAGAAACAAACAAACAAACGGAAACGGGGACTTTGTTGTATAATATTTAGTTTATATGTGCATAATACCGCGTTCGTTAACAATTAAAATTGTGCACCCACACCTATTACAAATTATATAACAATCTTGACCAGTTCTTGTTGCGTGCTCTACATTAGGACAAGTTATAGCAGGATATAAAATTTTACATTCGTGTCAATTGGAATTTAAGCATTCTTAAACTTAGGCACTACGCTCGTTATATTTATCTAACAATTGTTGCTACGAGTTCCGCTTCAAAATTCGATAGCTATATACGTAAAAGTTAAAATGAAGATTTTGGTTTTAAGCTAGTCTAGTTTAGTTAGAGAAGTACTAATGTAAATGTGACATACATAAATAATAAACAATGTTATAAAATAGGTACAATATCGTTATTTTACTGGATTTTCTTTTTTTGTAAATAAATGTTTCGTTACTTATTTAAAATGAATGATACATGATTTAATATGACGATGGAAAAACTTACTCTTTCGCAAGGTGGTGGCATTGGTGCATCCACTTCTGTGTAGATGCAAAGAGTTGACTTCCTCGACAGCGAGTCGCTGGCGAGACTGCTCGAGCTGGAACCCGTTGAGAACTTCATTTTCCCCAATCAGGTCTCAGGTACCTTGAAATCAAGTGACGTCCAACTGCACTTCTATGTGGTGTTGCCGGCACATCACACAAGTGTCAGTCACCTGATCTCTACTTAATCGGCGCCCAACTCTTTTAGCTGCTCTATTCTTAGTAGTTATGCACAGTTTCAACGTCAAATGCCGAATTTTAAGTCACTTTTCGTTGTCCAATCGCAATCAGAATTTCCAATGGCTCGATTACCCTGAAACAATGAATTATTCTTCAATGAATGATGTTTGACAAAAGCGAATGGATTCTTTCGACTAATAATGAATTATTTACAAATGTTTTACTTGTATCGTACAACATGTGTCGTAGCGGCAGTCTTATTTAGAAATGCATAAGTAAATAGGTTATTTACTGTTCTTTGTAGTTCATGTATTTCTTAACGCATAACGAATTTGTTGTTTTATATGGTGACGACAATTTTAACGCCTACAATGGTGTTACATTCGCGTTCGAAAATGGCTTTGAAAGTGTTGAAATGCATCAAGGACTTAGCAATTTAGATAAGTCGATCGACATTCTGATAGATAGATCGAATCCATTAAGCGTTGATAGATGAGCGATAGCGATAATGTATGCAATTTACTATCTCGCCTATAGTTCGATTTATACACTAGTTAGTTATTGAAACAGTCGAAAAGTGTAAGGAAATATACATAGCGAGCGGATACACACAGCAAATAATAACTATGATTATATATCAGTATAGTAACATCCGTAGATCTAGTGGTTAGAAGGTACGTTTGTAGATGCCGAGATGCCAGGATCTAACCGCGTCTCCAACCGAGGAAATTTATTAGCTTTCTGTCAAGAAATTCTAAATAGAAGCTTGGAATTGAGAATATAAAATGTTTCATCCAGTGCCTCGGGGACCACGTCATAAAATGTCAGTTCTGCGCCAAATCTTACCGGGCGTGTAGGATTGCCGTTCAACCAGACGATAAGTGAAAGGAATATAGGCATTCTATACTTGTACATTAAATCTCTTCTGTTGATCGAGGGGAAAAGTAGTTTATTATAGAAAATATTAAAAAAAATCAAATAAACACCAGAGCTTTGTTTAAATGTTATTTAAAAAAAAGCAAATAAATGTAATATTTTTTTAGATTAACGCGAATATTTGACCTTTCAAATGAAACTATGTCTTCAGATTATTTCACAGTGTTATTTTATATTTTTTCCGATGTTTCGGGTGGTTTACAGCAAACATGATCACCGGAGAGACTCACTCTCAAAAATATAGTTTTATTTAAAATGCTAGAAAAAAATCACAGTTATGTACTAAGTATTTGGGAAAAATATTTGCATTGCGAAAGGTTTTTCTTTTACAGATACTTAAAGATAGATTTACATTGCTAGAAAATTTAGGGATTATATATTTATAACTACTTTACTAAAATTGTACTAATATCATCCATTTCATATTATTGACAAAATTAAAAATACAATACCATATATTTAGACAAAATTGAATCAATATACATAAGTATACATAATAATCGGGGTCCTTCGTTTAACAAATAAAAGTGTGCGTAACAAAGCATGAGAAAATACGCAGTTGCAACAGTAATTAGTGGCAAGCTTAGTCGTTACGGGTTTAAATGACAATGGTTAAAGACCTCTATAATAATAATGTATTGTTTATTGCAGCCAATTACAGAAGATGTGAGTAAAATGGTTCAAGTTATTAATAGCTGAAAGTAAGTTAGAGACAAAAACGCTTACTTGATATAAAAAATGATATCCATTTATAATGTTGACATATTTCTAACTTTTATATAAAAAGTTGAAATAGAACTCATTCTGTCCAATACATATCTATACAATGGTTAAAAGCGTGACTGACCATTTGTTGATTTATCGTATGTTTAAGTATGATAATATCCCACTTTTCTTTCAGGAAAAACAAGTTGGCACGCAAACATTCTGAATATATGATTAGTTATTACAAAGCAGAGTGAATACAGGAAACGTTGCACCTTATGCGTAAAACACATTGACCGACTGTCCGGCATGTTTCAATGATTCCGATTACGTGAACAGGATATTAATTTACATCTACTTTCAAATAATTTGATAAAGTTTTTGTGTATTAAATTTAACTAATGATGCCTCGTGGTTGATCGAATCTTACCAAGATTCATTAAGTTTGGATGTTCTAGAGGTTCTTTTGTTAAAGTTATGTACATAGGTAGCTGTAACATTTCTTAATAAACAGACTACAAAATGCTGAAAGGTTAACTTTCTTAGATTTACATATATATTTGACATTTTAAATTTAACACTTTTGCCTCGATTGGACACGGAGGATACTCTCTCAACATGCATGAACGCATGTTGGAGGAATCTCTCCAGTGATCATGTTTACAGTAAAGCATACAAAACGTCGTGTCGGGAACAAAAACTCAAATTAAAACCACGATAAAATGCGAAAAGACATTTTCATTTAAAATGCCAATAGGACTTTAAAAAGAGACCCGTAGCTCCAGAGATTAGCATGTGCAGATAAACAAGTCTTCAGCTTTATACAAATATACATATGTAATTAGTACAAAATTAATGAAAGTTAAACGACAGCCAACACGTACTTATAATTTGACTATGCTAGAGCTTGTACCCGCAATATGCTCAAAAAGGGGTCCAAAGTTTTCTCTTCACATATTAATATATAGATAATAATAGACTTTAATATTGATATGCAGGCAATTTATACTATGTAATGGTAAGTGTGAAGCTGGAGGCCCACTTCGATCATCTCCTCTGCTAAAAACCGTAATCAATCAGTTGGAACAACACGCAAGTCGCACAATCCTCAATTAACGACGCTGAAACATGCGACTGTACAAATGAAATTTACTAACGGTTTATATTTAAATCGATAAACACGCAATACTGAATTTAAAGATAAACTCCACGTGCATGATTTTTTAAGAATTCTGAAGAAAACAATATAGAAAGAATGTATAAAATGAAGTATCTTAATTCACATATTATTTTTATAGGAAAAATCGTAAAAAATCTTTGGATTTTTGTATCGAATGATCATTTCTATAAATAGAAACGCGTCATTGTAGATAACACCTGCATAATCCTTAGAGTAAACTATAAAATGCACGTAGCACAATTAGAGCATTGCAAAGGTACGAGATAGTGAGTGAAACCAGGGCAAATGTACATAAATGTAAACATTGTAAATCCTGTTAACTCTAAACAAACTATTAATACAATCGATGTAAGGAAACGTATTTAATAAGCACTTAGTAAAAGTTTTAATACTTAATTTTATTCGTTAATATTTTAAATAAAACTATCTTTTCGGATAGTTTTATTTAAAATGTCAAGTATTCGCGTAAATCTAACCAAGTATTATTTTATTCGTTAATAGTTAAAATTGATGTATATTTTATTTAGGATATATATTTTATGTTTTTCACATTAAATAGAACTATATAATAGGCTAATAATAATTCAACATGAGTTACAGATAACACCAATATATTAATCTTATATGTTTTATAAATGTAGAGTTCAATGAACGTCGTCAAGATTAAGAATAAGACAAAAAATTCGCACGCTTCCTCAATATCTACTTTTCGGCTATAATATTTTATTGCGTTTGATAAACTGGTTGGCCTCAGATCTAATATGAACAACTTTTTTAGCGAAATTTCCTATTATCAATGCCCCAATTGAAATTTAATTTCACACTGATTTGGGTGCAGACGGTCCAAAATTTGTGAAACATTTTTACCGTATCTTTATATAAAAATCCATTTGCAAGATTATTTATTATATCTGCATTGACATTTATAGGGAAGCAACGATTCAAAAAGTTAAAAGTTATGAAAACGAAATTACCTTCGTATGTATTTTCAATCCATATCATTGGTCAAGTTGTTACGTATGAAGTCAACATTCCAAACTCGTTGCAGAGCGCTTACAGAAATGTGCTCTTAAAATTATGTGCATGCGGTAATAACTTTTTCTTACTGCGTACATCAACCATTTTGTAATATACTACTTGTCCTTTTCTTTTTTTTTTGGTAGCAAAATACTGTCAGGTACTATTTGCAATGCAATTGGATCTCCTTGTGTGGTCAAAGATAAAGATCTTCTCTAAGATGAAAAAGTGGCAAAGGCTGACATATAGGATCCTTGTCATTGATGCATGGTTATTGCGATAAGAAAGGAAAGAGCTATTTTTGCAACACGTTCTTTTTAAGATTTAATCGAAAAACACCTTGCTTACCTTGGTGATATTTGCTGTGGTTTTAAACAACGAGAACAGAATCAAATTAGTTATTTTATAATAAAATATAAACGTTCTTTGTTAGTTAATCCACCAATTCTAACTAAAAAGTTTTAATTGTCACGGCCAACATTCCCGATTGATATATTGTATTGATATGAAAATCACAAAATAAAAATTCAACCCATTGTCCTTTTTGGGGTATATTTAATTGGTACATTGTTTTACTAAAGGTCAATTACATCCTTGAGCATGTCATATTTAGTTTATTATTAAATTTGGGTACACATTGTTTGACCGCCTTGACTATCTAAATCGGTTGGTCACGATTTAGCCTTTATAGCGTCAACTTCAAAATTTACCTTATTGTAAATCCAGCGTAAAATGAATTCATAGCTTGATAGGTAACGGATTAAGTTTTTGGTTTATAAATTTTTTTGCTGATCTTAGTAATTTCATTATATTCCAAGAACACTTCCTTGTTTATTTTGGTATTTTAATTCAAAAAACAAGTCAGGTTTTGAATATGACAAGGCATAAGTGATGAATATAAAGTTATTTTCTAACTGAATTGTACGAAAATATACCTAGGTGCTCACAGTGCGTAAAAAATTATATTTTGAAACTTACTTTGTAGATACAAGTAATATATTATAGTAAATGAAAAAAATGAATAAATTATAATTATTAGTAGAGCTAAAATAAAAGAAAAA